AGAGAGAGAGAGAGAGAGAGAGAGAGAGAGAGAGAGAGAGAGAGAGAGAGAGAGAGAGAGAGAGAGAGAGAGAGAGAGAGGTGTTTAACTTCTGAAATTAAACAACCACGGCTCCTGATCCGATCGCATTGAACCTGTGTTTTCTTTCTGCCTGGTGCCGCCTTTCGGAATGTCCAGCCATTGTGGCTGCAACCTTGCCTTTTTGTTTCATGAGTTTTCACTTTCTGTCACTCCTCAATCCAACTGCGGAGGGCGGTGGCCACAGTTCTCTTTCACAGCTGGTGCAGGCCTCTAGAAGATTGCTACTGAACCAACCTTTGGATCGCTTGTGCGCTGGCATGATCTGGGCAAGGGGTTGTATACTAGCTCCTTTATCAGCAAAATCTCAGATATCTTTAAAGACTATTAAACTTTTTCAATATTACTAACAGCCTTGTAACTGGTTATGATTAGTGTTTTGTTGCTCTTCAAGACTCGACACCAATGAAGATCCAAACTTTTGACCAAAAAAGAAAATTGAACCTTTTTCCACTGCAGAGCTCTTCATCATAACCCAAGTGATCTTGCTCCTCTGTCTGGAAACATATCTTGCTTCCATGGGGCATAGGTGAGTGATACATTGATAATGTCTTTGTTCATTGCTGTTCAGTATCACCCTTTTGTTGTCTTTGCTGTTGTTTTGAAGACAAAAACAAATAGGGGGTGAGGGAGGGGGGGCGGGGGTGGTGGGGGGGGGTGTTGGTCTCAAGGGTGCAGCACAAGGGTCCAAAATTGAAAATTCTTTGCTGTTGTTTCGAAGAGAAAATAATAGGTCCCAGGTCTGTGTTAGAATTTAGGACCCTTGCGCTGCTTCCCCCCCCTCAACTGCAAACGTAAAAGAGAAAGATTTCTATTGTACGCGATACTAAAGACATGAAGTGTTGATTAACAGGTCATCAATTAATTAAAATCTTCTCAATTTTGTTACGTAGTGGGCTTCCCGCTTTGAAAAGAAAGGAAGCTCCACTTCGGAAAGAAATGACGGCGTCCTGGATGTTAACTATCTGCTTTCATAATGTCTGTTTGCAGGTGCGGCTTGGATGGCATGACTCTGGCACTTATGATAAGAATATAAAAGAGTGGCCTAAGTGTGGTGGTGCTAATGGTAGCATTCGGTTCAAACCAGAAATTGACCATGGTGCCAATGCAGGTATGCTGTTCGTTCACTGGACTCTCTCTCTCTCTCTCTCTCTCTCTCTCTCTCTCTCTCTCTCTCTCTCTCTCTCTCTCTCTCTCTCTCTCTCTCTCTCTC